TTGACTCTAGCAGCCAAAACTGAGGCATACAATTTAGTGTCAACATCTATCAAGGATATTGGACGATAATTCTTAACGTCAGTAGGATTTTTATTTTGTTTTAGAATTGGTAAGATGTTGGCTTTTAACATCTCTGCTGGGAGGAGTCCTCTCTTAGCTGCACTGTTGAAAGTATTGGTCATGTGAGGGCAAATTTAGGTGTTTTAATGTTTTGTAAAATAAGTTGCTAAATCCGTCTGGACCTGGGGTTTTAAACCCTTCCAAGTTATTTATAACCTTCACTATTTCATTGTGGGGATATTTATGGGATGATAATATTAAGCAGTCGAGAATCGCCCACTATTTCAATTCTCTTAGATCTTAGAGATCGTTTATCAAATAAGTGAAAAGTATTAATGATCACCATGTGTTATAAAAATAGATTTATTTATTATGACCAGTAATTAACAATAATATTAGGCAGCATGCATGATAATAATCAGTGAGTATTTAGTATAACATAAATATGCAATACAATGGAATGGCTAACACGTTTTCCAAAGGCTAACAGCACCATCTGTCACTTAAGATTTATGAGGGTATCCTTACAGACAAAAGTAAAGCTTTTCACAGCGAAGAGCCATAAAACCTTGGCTAACAGTTAAAACAACTGAATAACACTTAAATATATAAATTTAAATTAAATAAAACCAGCATAATTACCAGTTATGTAGATATTCTCATCAGATGAATAGATAGTCCCAGAAACTTGATTGGTTGTATGTAGGTGCGTGAGTGATAGAGAAAAGTGGTGTTGGTTAGAAAGTGTCAAAGAGTTTGTGAGTTGAGTGTCCCTCTCTGCATGTCCGAATCGGATTCCTCAAACTTCCAATTCATCTCTTTGTCTCTCTCTGTATTTCAAACTTTTCCCTTTGTCCTTACTTTTAAAGGGCCAGACTCTTTGTACTTCATTAGTTGATAAACCAAAGCCGTAGGTGGATTCAATCAAAGGATCGCAATTTAGGTATTTGATCCATAGAGGGCAGTCTCGTCTAACTAATCCTTCTTATCCAGGAAAGAGTTAACTTTTCCTGATGACGATTTTGACGTCATTTGGCTTATCTAAAATGACTACCATAACTTAGATTTGCTGTCCGTTCAAAGCGTTTGTCTCAGTCTTTGTGGCAACTATTTTGATCGTGACTTGTAAAATTGACAGTTCTAAACTCAATTTCACCTCTTACTTACAATGGAACCTTGTAAAATTTAGAAAGTAAAATTAATTACTTAGTCTTCTCTGTCACTAGTGTCTGTGTTTAGATAACGCATTCCTCAGTGGTTAGTGAAAGTAAGAAGAAATCAAGGAAATTGTGTGTTTTTTGTTATCCTGAAGATAGCAAAATGGAGTCTGCTCTGTTTCTGAGTGACTTGGCAATATACACTTTTAATTTCTTTTTAGCACAAAATGTCTGTTGATATAAATATTCTGACATCATCCATAGTTATATCTTTATTTATTGCTTCTCTTTGTGATTCTGTTAACTGAAACTTATTCATTTTTTCAAAATATTTTTTTATATTTTCAACTGTCGTGGTTTGAGGTATGTTATATAACTTGCTATAGAAGTCATTTAATTGTTGTCCTATATCTTTAGGAATTACTGCTGTTATTCCATTATTTATTAATCTATCCACCTTATTTAAACCCTTTTGTTTTCTGAGTTTTTGAGATAACAATTTATCAGCTCTATTGCCTTTGGAGTAGTATTTTAATTTTAATCTGTCTAAGCTTTTAACCGTTCTTTCCATTAGTTTCTGATTTATATTGTCCTTTATTACTGATATTTTCTCAGAATTCTCAACTGTTGGGTTCTGTTTATTAATTTGGATCAACTTTCTTAGCGGAGTATGGAGGTAAGATAAGCTAGTATTTTTTATCAATTTGACTTTGAAGTTTAATAAAATGGCCTCTTATTACTGCCTTAAAGGCACACCACAAAGTGGATGGATCAATATCTTCTGTACTATTTTCTTTGAACTAATTACTTATATTTGTTTCAATATGTTTTTTTATTCATGTCAGAACAAAGCAAACTATCATTTAAACGCCAGCTATATGGTTCTTTTATGTTTTTTTCTGGCACCTATTACGCATAATACTCCATTATGGTCTGTCCATACTGTTTCTTTAATATCTACATTTTGAATCATATCCATAAGTTTGGGGTCTATCCAAATCATATCCAGCCTTGAATAGGAAAAATGAACTTTAGAGAAGTGTGTATAGTCTCTTATATTTGGATTGTGAATTCTCCAAATATCAAACAAATAAAATTTGTCTTTAATATTTTTTAAGGATTTAGCTTGTTTAACCACCATTTTGTTTATTTTAACACCTTTCATTATTTTTTTGTCTATTTGTGGATCTATAACCGCATTGAAGTCTCCAGCTAGTATTAGATTTCCTACTTTTATTTCTTCTATTTTTTTCTAGAATAGAATCTAGAATTCCAGCATTAAGCATAAGTGCAAACCTTAATACATTTTGTGTCTAACTTCAAGAAAATTACATTCGTCATACGTTTTAAGCAGATTCTTCTGCCTTTGAATTGGTGCAAACCTTTATAGATGATTTATATGAAAAAAAAATTATCTAAACATATATGCATAGGGTTATATATAGGTACCTTTCAAATTTATCCTTATTAACCTATCCCATTATTTCTTGTGTTTGATATTTGTAAGTTACATTTATCATAAACTTTGAGCAGATTCTTCTGCCATTAACATAGGTGGAAACCTTAATAAATGATTTATATAAAAATAGTCTAAACAGAAATACGTGAGAATATTTGTGACAACCTTTTATCCTCATTAACCCATCTCATTATTTTTGTGTTTGTTATTTGTAAATTACATTCATCATAAACTTCCAAACAATTATTCTGCCATTAACATAAGTGAAAACCTCAACAAGAAGAAGAAGAAAAAAAAAAATAACAAATCCAAGCATATATGCATTAAAAATAAATTAAAAATAAATTATTTTCTTATCATTATTAGCTTAACGCAGATTTTTTACTTTTCCTTTTTTTTTTTGCTTGTGTTAACCGTTTACAGGATTCAAACCAATAATTTTTCCATTAGCATAAAAAAAAAAAAATATAGAATTCCTTCTATATCAACGATCTTGTTGTTTTTATATTTGGATTCTTGCTAGCCAGCTCTTTGCTTCATCTGTGTCGGTAAAAGAAAGTCTTTCTTGTGTCCAAATTAATTTTAAAGAAGCCGGTGAGCTCCATTGAAATCTAATATCTTTTTTTCTTACAAAATCCATTAATATTGAAAAATATTTTCTCCAGGTTCTAGTAAAGTAGGATAAATCTTGCAAAAAATATATATCTTTATAAACGGAATTTGTTAGGGGTTTTGTGTGTCTGGCCTTGATCAAATTATCTTTAGCTGAGAGTGAGCAAAAACTCACTATCACGTCTCTTGGAAGTTGAGCTGCGATTATATTAGGTTTCCGAATCCGGTGAAACTTTTCTATTTGATAATCAATTGTCTCAGGAAGAACTTCTTTAAATAAGCTACATAAATAATCTTTTAATTTCTCCGTTGTTATAGCTTCAGATATACCTCTGAATCATATGTTAAATTTTCTTGATCTATCTTCTAAAACTGCTATTTTTTGTCCCACAGTTGTAGTTTTATTTGTTAAGAGCAGCATTGTGTCCTTAACTGTGCATAATTGGTTGTCAAATGTTACAAGTTTTTTTTCCAGAGCTTCCACTGATATTGCAATTCTTTTTGTATCTTGTTTAATATTTTCAAGACTCATAAGCATGTCTTGTTTTAGTGTATTGAATTGTGACTCTAATAATAGTTTAATCTGATCTTGTAGGCTGTCTTTTGTTGTTTCAAAAACTTGTGATGGCACTTGAACCGCTGAGCAATCTACATTGGTATTGGAAATATTCGCCGGGTTTATCTCACATTCACTTTTCCGTTCTTGTATATCTTTAGAGGGGGTTGAAAAACAAAACAGACATCCTCTTTTCTATTAGTTGTGCTGGCTTATTTTCCTTCTTTTTTTCCATGGTAGTTTTTCTAGTTGCCATATTGCTTTTCACACAAGAGCTGTTTCAATAGTTCCTTAACTTATTAATATTTAATATTAAATTTTTATTTCAACTAAACTGAATTTTGCATATACAATATGTTTCTTTTTTTTTTTATTTATTCTTATTTTAGTGACAGCTTCTTAGTTTTTCCAACCTGTGGCAGCTTCTGATATCAATGTTTTTGTTGTAACATATCCATTTTTGCTGTTTATTTTTCTGTCTTATGTTATTTGTGTTGGTTATATAGTCTTGGTTAGACTTGTATTCTTTCAGCCTCCGCTTATTACTCTCATTTAATAAAAATATACTTTGGAAGTTTTAATAATTGTAACTCTCAGTTATAGTTAAATGATATATATGCCTTAATTTAAGCAGCGTATCGGTATTATCAGAGGTACTCACAGTACTTCAACTTCTTCCCCAATATTCTATAATTATCAGAAGTCATCCGTTTGCTTTGCACTTCTGACTCAGCAACAGCCCAAAAAAGAGATCAAAAATGTGATATCACTCTTTTATCGTTAATTCACATTTTAACGCCAAAATTTGATTGGTCAAATACAGCCAGGTACTTTTAGCGTGGTTAGCTCGTTTTCGCGCACTTCTGCCACAACAGCGTTCCTCTGAACCACCGAATATGCTCAGCGTGGTTACTTCGCTTCCACGCACTTCTGCCTGATCACCATTCCTCCGGACACGCCCACCTCCTGCACGTGTTGCGTCTCACGTCATCACGTACCCCCGGGCCTTCCCACCAAACAATTGAAATTTTTAAAACTGCGCAGTAAGCGCATTATTAGACGCTTCTATTTGACTCTCAGATATGAAGAGCACGACCAAAATTTACTATTTAGCAGTTTAGCAGCAAAACAATTAGAATGTTTACAATTGCGCTGTAACCGCAGTATTTCATGCTTCTACTTGACTCTCAGATATGAAGTGCACCCCACCAGTGTCGGCTCTAGACTTGGCGAGGCCTTAGGCGAAACTCATACATGAGGCCCCAACTAACACCATTATTGGAAACAAATAGCAGTTGACTTGTGTGTGTATAAGAAGCTGTAGATATATTGAAATGGGAGCTTGCAGCACTAGATATAGAGAACTAGTCTTTGTGTACATCGTTGCATTGTCTACCTGTGTGTGCCTGAGAGTGTGTGTCTGGCACTGAGTATCCTTGTATATGTATGTATATTTCTCTGAGCATGTGTATGTTTGTGTACTGCCTGTGGCCTTTGGCATTGAGTTTATGGTGAAGCTATGTTTTATGATTGATTGCCTTCAGGGGTGACAGGGTGAGTAAAGGGGTAACTGTGAATCTAAAAGAGGGGCAGTAAGTGGGAAAAAGTGCAAAATTCCAGTGCAGGCTAATCACCCCAAAATAGGGATCACTCCCAGTCCCAGTTACAATACCAAAAAATTAGTATAGTTAAACATATACCACCGGGGGCGCCACGATCACAAACATGTGAATATATTTACCACATCATGGTCATGAATATTCATGTAAAGAGATAAAAAGCAAAAAATATATAGTGAAGTATTTAATAACAATTAAAACAAAATAATAAAAAGCAAGTACACTCACAAGTATAGTTGCACAACAAGGACATATGTCTTAGTTGTGCTGAAAAGCTTTACAGCCCTTTGCTGGGCTAGAGTCCCTTCTTGTAGCAGGATCCCAGTATCCAAAGTTCTAAAGACTTCCAATGGTATTTCACTCGGAACTAGATATGATCCAAAAGCTGTAGGGGCACTCACGATCTTCCAATTGCTCGACGCGTTTCGTCTAATTGACTTTCTCAGGAGCTGTATGTTTCTTCTTCTTCCGGCTTTTTAAATAATTGAGTTCGCGCGGCTTTCATTATTGCGCGCATGCGCATTACGGTAAAAGCTTTACCGCGCATGCGCGCACATCCAGCCTGGAACGCAAACAACTTTATTGATGTTCTGTGCCAATGAACACATTTCCGTACTTGACCACCTGGTCTTACGGAATGGAATGTGGGCACTTAAACCTCATTCATATCAGTAATGTCAGTATCAGTAATGTACAATGTGTTCATTGGCACAAAACATCAATAAAGTTGTTTGCGTTCCAGGCTGGATGTGCGCGCATGCGCGGTAACGTTTTTACCGTAATGCGCATGCGCGCAATAATGAAAGCCGCGCGGACTCAATCATTTAAAAAGCCGGAAGAAGAAGAAACATACAGCTCCTGAGAAAGTCAATTAGACGAAACGCGTTGAGCAATTGGAAGATCGTGAGTGTCCCTACAGCTTTTGGATCATATCTAGTTCCGAGTGAAATACCATTGGAAGTCCTTAGAACTTTGGATACTGGGATCCTGCTACAAGAAGGGACTCTAGCCCAGGAAAGGGCTGTAAAGCTTTTCAGCACAACTAAGACATATGTCCCTGTTGTGCAACTATACTTGTGAGTGTACTTGCTTTTTATTATTTTGTTTTAATTGTTATTAAATACTTCACTATATATTTTCTGCTTTTTATCTCTTTACATGAATATTCATGACCATGATGTGGTAAATATATTCACATGTTTGTGATCGTGGCGCCCCCGGTGGTATAAGGGGTAACTGTGGCATGGTGAGTGTAAAAGAGCAGGAGGGTGCCAGAGTGCGGAGAGTGGTGCCCGTGTGTTTAGAGGGACAGATAGTGTGTATGGAGAGAGGTGACAGAGTGTGTGAGGGGGTGACATAGTATAGGGAGGTGACATAGTGTGAGGGGGTGACAGAGTAAGAGGGGGGTGACATTAGTGTGAGAGGGTTACATTAGTGTAAGGGGGGTGACAGAGTAAGAGGGGGTGACATTAGTGTGAGGGGGGTGACATTGTGAGAGGGTTACATTTGTGTAAGGGGTGTGACAGAGTAAGAGGGAAGAGACAGAGTAGGGTGACAGAGTGAGAGGGGTGACAGAGTGAGAGAGGGTGACAGAGTGAGAGAGGGTGACAGAGGGAGGGTGACAGCGTGAGAGGGAGGGTGACAGCGTGAGAGGGAGGGTGACAGCAAGAGGGGGGATGACAGAGTAAGAGGGGGCGACAGGGTGAGAGGGGGTGACAGAGTAAGAGGGGGGAGACCTAGTGTGAGAGGGAGGGTGACATAGTGTAGGGAGGGTGACAGTGTGAGGTGGGGTGACAGTGTGTGGGGAGTGACAGGGTGCGGTGACAGAGTAAGGGCCATAAGAGGTGGGGTGGCAAGGTGAGAGGTGGGGTGGCAGGGTAACATGTGGTGTGAGAGGGGAGGCAGGGTGAGGGGGTGACAGGTAAGGTGGCAGGATGAGAGAGGTTGATGGGGTGAGAGGGGGTGACAGGTGGGGTGGCAGGGTGAGAGGTGGGGTGGCAGGTGAGATGTGTGGTGAGAGGGGGTAACTGGGTGAGAAGAGGAAGCAGGGTGAGGGAGTGGCAGGTGGGGTGGCAGGGTGAGAGGTGGCTGACAGGGAGATGGGTTGGCAGAGTGAGGGGGTGGCAGGGTGAGATGGAGTGAGGGGTGACAGGTGGAGTGGAAGGGGGATGACAGGATGAGAGGTGGGGTGACAGGTGGGGTGGCAGGGTGAGCGGGAGGTGACAGGGTGTGACAGGTGGGGTGGCAGGGTGAGAGGGGGGTGACAGGGTGAGGTGACAAAATGAGAAGGGGGTCATAGGGCAAGGTGGCAGGGTGAGAGGTGGGGTGGAAGGGGGATGACAGGATGAGAGGTGGGGTGACAGGGTGAAGGGGGTGACAGGTGGGGTGGCAGGGTGAGGGGGGTGACAGATGGGGTGGCAGGGTGAGATAGGGTGAGGAAGGGGTGACAGGGTGAAGTGGCAGGGTTAGGGGGGTGTCAGGGTTAGGGGGTGACAGGTGGGGTGGCAAGGTTAAGGGGGTGACAGGTGGGGTGTCAGGGTTGGGGGGTGACAGGTGGGGTGGCAGGGTAAAGGGGGGTTGAAATTTACCTTTTTTCCCTGGTGGTCCAGTGGGGTCAATCTGTCCCTGGTGGTCCAGTGGGCTTTCCAGTCTGCAGCTCCGCTGGATGCAGAGCTGCAGACCACATGGGGAATGTCTCGCGATCTCCATTTAGAGCGTTGCCATGGTAACCCGAGGCAACGCTCTGATTGGCTGGAGATCGCGAGACATCAGTCTTCAGCTCTCTCCCCAGGCGGACTGACTGGAGGGGCCTCGCACATGGCGGCACAAAGGGAAAGCCGCCGGCCCCCCTCCTGTGTCGTGTCCTCGGTCATAGACCGAGAACCCGATATGTCAGTCTGCCCTCAGGTGATTTAGGTGACTGCGAGGCCCCTGACAGCACGAGGCCTTAGGCGGCCGCCTAAATCACCGAATTAGAGAGCCGCCTCTGTACCCCACTAATGTACTATTTAGCATCAAAATAAAATGACTTTTTAAAACTGTAATGTGACAGCAGTATTTGACGCTTCTATTTGACTAAACTGCTAAATAGTACAGTTGTGGCCTGCACTTCATATCTGAGAGTCAAATAGAAGTGTCAAGTACTGCGGTTACAGCGTAATTGTAAACATTCTAATTGTTTTGCTGCTAAACTGCTAAATAGTACATTTTGGGCGAGCTCTTCATATCTGAGAGTCAAATAGAAGCGTCAAATAGTGCGCTTACTGTGCAGTTGTAAAAATTCGTAATTTCTGGGTGCTAATCTGCTAAATAGTACTTTTTGGGGCCTGCTCTTGATATCTGAGAGTCAAATAGAAGCGTCTAATAGTGCGCTTACAGCGCAATTGTAAACATTCTTATTTTCTGGTTGCTAAACTGCTAAATAGTATATTTTCTGGCCTGCGGTGCATTTCTTGCAGTCCAATAACTAAAAAAAAAACAATTGTTGACTATTGATGCTTACATTGTCGCCTGACATAAACCATCTGTTAGTTTGGTCGGTGAATGCAAAGAATGAGGAGAGCGTCAAATAAGGGACGTGGCCCTGGTCGTGGTGCTGCTGGTGTTGGTGGAGCTCCTGTTGCAAGGAGAGGATGTGGTTGATCTGTGCCAGCTACACGCACAAGTGAAACACCTTCCTCAGGTGCTAGTAGGCGACCGAACCTTCTGCTTTATTTGGTAGGCCCGAATGCCGCTCTACGATGAGTGAGGCCAGAACAAGTACAGGCGATAGTAGATAGTTCCTGCACATTGTCTCCCACCCGGCCCCCTGTTGAAAGCTCAGAGTTGGCACCTGCAGCCCATGGCCATCTGTCTTTCACCTCACCCCCTTGCAAATCAGCAAAGGAGTCTGAGCCACAAGTCATGCAGCAGTCTCTTATGCGTTTTAATGACTCTGCAGGCGGGGTTTCCGTGGACCATCCACCTAGCACTGCCCCAGAAGTAGAAGAGATTGAGTGCACTGATGCACAACCACTTATGTGTCAGGATATGGACATGCACGGACCACCGCAGCACGTCTCTGATGACGAAATACAGGTGCCAACTACTGTGGCTTTCTGCAGTGTGCAGACAGACAAGGAGGGAAGGAGTGGAGTGGAGGATGATGAGGTCCTAGACCCCACATGGAATGAAGGTCATGCGAGCAGTTTGGAGAAAGAGGCGGTGGTCGCACAGAGGCACAAGCACAGCATAAGAGGGAGAAGGGTGCAAAAGCGGAGCGGCCATCCCCTATATGGTACGCCTGTTACTGCCCACCGCACCAAGGGACCGAGCACACCAAAGCCAGCTCCAAGGAGTTCCCTGGCATGGCAGTTCTTCAGACAATGTGCTGACGACGAGACACAAGTGGTTTGCATGCTGTGCAATCTGAGCCTGAAGCGAGGCATAAATGTTCTAAACCTGAGTACAACCTGCATGACCAGGCATCTACATGCAAAGCACAAGTTGCAGTGGAGTAAGCACATCAAAAACCAAGAAAGGTCTCAGGCTCCTCCTGCTTCCTCTTCTGCTGCTGTCTCTGCTTCTTCCTCCACCTCTGGAGTGACAGTGGCACCTGCCACCCCGCAAACAGAGGATGTGGCAGCAATGCCACGACATCCGCCACCTTCCCCAAGCATCTCTCCCATGGAAGCGTTCAGCTGTCCATCTCCCAAACACTGGAGAAAAAGAGGAAGTACCCTACCCATACATGATCCCTGGCCCTGAATGCCAGCATTTCAAAATTTGTGGCCTTTGAAATGCTGTCATTCCATCTGGTGGAGACGGACAG